AGGGGTGGAATAAATTGTTACCTCTGATACCAGTGAAAATACCCAAGCATTACATAAAATATACTCCTATCAATTAACGATAATAAGGAAAAAAAAGTGAACTTTTTTTTAATACCGGGGAGGAAGAATGCAATGAGAGATATTTTCACCCAGATTAGGATGGTTGGGGGAAAGGCCCAAAGCTGACCTAAAACACCGAGATAGTCCAGATACTCGGATTAAACGAGAATCTTGAGATAGGTGATGACCGCTAGTTATCACGGGTACCAAGAGAATGCGACCAAAGGTCGCCACGTGAAAGTAAAGGACCACCACATGTTGCCACGTGAAACTAACCCCTGGTATAAGTCAGACTTGATTCTGATCAAGTTTAGTTTGTGTCGACCTGTTGGAGCGAGAGGATGTGCGACTGAACGTGAGAATGTCAACGTAAGAGTACTTGTTGAGAAAGGAGACCCTGACGACGAAGTGTGAAGCCAAGATCGACCATGCCAGTCTGTGAAATGGCCAGAACCTCAACTTGATCCATGGGAGCCGACTTTGGTCAGTGAGTGCAAGAAGAACCTGTTCGTCGAAGGCTGCGTGAATTCGTGTGCAAGAGCTGTGTATTAGGACTTCGACTGGACATTGCCGTAAGTTATATCATGTCAATAAATCGATGCTCGTACGACTGACTTGGTGTCGGCTTGTACCAGTTGTGTAACGCAGAGTGTGTGAGAAGAATATTCATGACACACGCATGAACACCACCTAGACAACGAGAATATAAACACACCACTTATTACAGGTGTTAAATATTATAAGATCATAACACCAATAAGAGAAGAAATATTTAGTGAAGAAATAATGAGTCAAAAACCACAATTACCTATTGAAGATATAGATTTCAGTGAATTAATGAAAAGGTTTAATCTCTTAAAAAATAGTAAAGAAGATGGATATAGTAATGTTGTTCCTGAAATTAATGCTATAGCACATGAACTTTTTGAAAGATCAATATGAAACTTAAAAGAAACAAATTTAAAATATTAAAAATGCCTTTAATAATTGGAAAAAATAATAGGAACAAATATTTTAAAGGAGAAGGATTTTTTGATAGTTTGTTATCTACTATTACTTCGAAAGTTGTGCAAGATGCTGCAAAGGAAGTAGTTGTAAATGTTAGTAAAAAAAAACGCAACAGAATTAGGTAATAAAGCTAGTGAAAAAGTTATAAATAAAATATTTCCTCCATCTAATCCTTCTAATACAAATAACACACAAGAATGGAGTGGTGGAAAAAAATTATCCCCTAAAGAAATAAAACTTTTAGCAGAACAATTATTTCCAAGAGAAAGTGGGTTAAAAAAATCCATCTTTTAGAAGAGTCTGAAATTTCAATGGTTATAAAATGGATACAATAAAAACATATAATGTATTAGATAAAAAAATAAATCTTTTAATTTCAAAATACGAAATTAAATTGTTTATATATAATATAATTTTTATAAAAATTATCTTATTTATCTTAATTCTTTAATTTTGTTATTTAATTTATTTAATAATCTATTAGCTGCTTTTTCTTTATATTTCAATTTAGTTGAATCAACTATTTCATTATATTTTTTATTTGATTTTTCATTATTTCATTTTTTAATTTTTCATCACCAATTATAATTTGATATTCATTAATTAAACATTGTTGTTCTTCAATTTCTTCTTCATATTAAATCATTTGTTCACCTGCTAATTTTATCATTTCTTCATTGATGATATTTTTTACAGCATATTGTTTTAATAAATGATCTTTTGTTATATAATTTTGTTTATCAAGTTCTTTAATTTCCTCTTTAATTTCATCCTGTTAATTTTTTTTTTAACCAATACTTTAATACTTTCCATTTTATATACGAGTAAAAATTAAAAGTTAAACTTCTTCTATCGCTTTATCTACATCAAAATCTCTATATCCTTGTTTTTCATAAGTTTTTTATGATGTCTGCTTTTGATTGTTTTTACACTGTTTTTGCTTTGTTTTTGCTTGTTGTTGACTTCGTTATTTTTTTACAATTTCGGTTAAATGTTTACTTCTTTCATGTGCTTTTAATACTGATTTATTCTTTGAAATAAAATCACAATATTCACAGTATTGAGGATTAAATACTGTTTTTACTTTTTTCTTTTGAAACATTATTTCATTAATATCATTAGAATATCTTTCTGAAGTTCTTTCAGATACATCTAAATTTTTAGCTGATGAATTACATAAACCAGTTATTTAAAAAATTTAAAAAAGAAGAGTTATTGTAAGAGGAATAGATCAAATATGGGCAACAGATTTAGTTGATATATCTTCTTATTCTTAACAAAATAATGGATATAAATTTATTCTTACTGTTATTGATGTTTTTAGTAAATATGGATGGATGATTCCATTAAAAAATAAAAGTGGAATAACTGTTGCTGAAGGATTTAAAGAGATATTTTCTAGAGATAACAGAAAACCAGAAAAACTATGGGTTGATAAAGGAAGTGAATTTTATAATAAATATGTTAAAGATCTTTAAACAATTAATAATATTGAAATGTATTCTACAGAGAATGAAGAGAAAAAAGTTATGTTGTAGAAAGATGGAAAAGAACTATGAAAGAGAAAATGTTTAAATATTTTACTGCTAATAGTGTAACAAAATATTATAACATACTGGATGAATTAGTTACTGATTATAATAACACATATCATAATTCTATAAAACTGACTCCTGTTGAAGGCAGTAAAAAATCTAATGAAGATTTAGTAAGACAAAACTTATATGGATCTGAAACTGAATATGATGAAATAAAACCTAAATTTAAAATAGGCGATAGAGTAAGAATAACAAAGATGAAAAACGTTTTTTGAAAAAGGATACACACCTAAATGGACAACATAAATATTTATTATTAGTGAAGTTTTATATACAGATCCTGTTACTTATAAAATAAAAGATTTAGAGGGTAAAGAAATTATAGGATCATTTTATGAAAAAGAATTACAGAAAACAGGGTTCTAATTTTTTAAACCATGTGGTAATGTTCTTATTCCATCGGCATAAATGTATCTTTTATCATCAAAAGCTGATAATGAAGAATAGGTTTTGCTAATAGTTGATTTCCACAATCCTTTTGATGATTGGTTAATGCTTGAGAAGTAGTATAAGATTGTAAACATCTTTTACATAAATATCTTCTCTTGCCTCTACTAGATAAAATTGCTTCAAGATTTTTAATTAAACAATAATGTGTTTCATTTTCAACATATTATAAATCAATAATATGATCTCTATTTGAATGGTTTGTAATATATATCGGATATAGGGATTTTACATTTTTTGGGTTTTGAAGAGCATAAACATCTATACTTATATTACCATTATTATTTTCAAACTTTAGAATATCTTTTATTTTAACAGGATAATCAATTTTGCCCACATTAATGTATTCTTCATATTCTCTATAATGAGATACTCTTTCTGGGCGAGATTTAATTTTTAGAACAGTAGCTATAATACACCATAGAAAAACATTTCTTATCCTTGTTTTAAAATATTATTATTTTTAAAGGGAAGTTTAAAATAAGATGATCCTGTTAATGGTTTTACTTTTACAACAGTTAATTCTGTTAAATTAATATGATCAAAAATATATCCACTTCCTTTTTGTTGAAAACTATCTACCCAAGCAATAAATTTTTGTTCTATTCTATTAAATATTTCATCAAATTGATTCACTGAATTTAAATTATTATAACTCGAATTAAAATATACCACTATATCACTATAATTTATTGGATGAGTGAAAACACAATCAATAGTGAACTTAAATTTAATTTATGTATAATTGTCTAAAATATTCTCTACACGACTATATATTTTATTAAAATAAGTATTTATATTTGTTCCTCTTTTTACAATTATGTGAGTTACAAAAACATTTTTAAAATTCTTTTTTTTGGGTTTGAAATTCTTTTTTGTAATTCTTTCTTTTTGTGTGTTTTTGATTTTTCATGTTTTGTTAGTTCTTTTATATTATCAAATGTATCTTTACAAGTTGGACAATATAATTTTGTATTTTTACTTGCCATTTTTTAAGAGAACTTTTTTAATATGCTGTTTCTGATAATCTGGATTTCTAATAATAAATTCATCATATGCTTGTTCTTTTTTTCTTTGTTATTTATATAGTGATTTTGTTTTCTAATTTTATCACATTCTTTACATCTTCCTCTACGACCATCTGGACATGTTTTTTCTTTAGCAAAGAAATTAAGTGGTTAAGTGATAAAACATATATTGCAAGATTTACTCATTTTTATATATGAATAATTTATATATATCTTTTATTGATATTTTTAATCAATTTATTTTTTGATATTAATAAAAATAACTATCATTAGTAGTGATATAGATAATTAGGATTCTAACAAAAATGATTTTTTTTAAAAATTATATTATTTTTCTTCAAAAACCGAACGCAAAGTGAGGTTGTGGGAAAAAAATGAAAAATAAAAATTCATCATTAGTAGTTATAGTAATTACAGCCTCAGGCAAGTCCATTTATATAAAAAAAAATTCTGTTTTCTTCAAAAACCGAACAAAAGAGAGGTTTTGAAAAAAAAAACCTGACAATTTTTTTTATAAAATTGAGTGGCCCTTTATTGTTTTAAATTTTTATTTTATTATTTTTCTTCAAAAACCGAACGAAACTGAGGTTCTGTAAAAAAAAATTTTTTTTTTTTTCAAAATGCAGTGGCCTGAGGCAGTAATTACTATCACTACTTACACGCATGGGTGGATGGGAAAAAGGATGAAGGTAGGAAGAATGACAAAGAGGAAAACAAACAAATAAACATAAGTGAGAAAGCCAGCAGTAGCTGACACACTGGAAAAAATAAAAAAAGAAGGAAGGATTACAACAAAAGGCAGTAAATAAGAAGAGAAAGACAGGAAAATAACATTAAAAGACTAAATCTGACCACTGACCTGAAGATACTGATGAGGGTATGGCAGAATGTTCTTGAAAGCCCATTGTAGATTCTGATGTACAGCCAGCTGCCTCATGAAGTGGCTGGAGTACTCACAGGCCATTCTCAGCAGTCCGTAGTATGCCGGCAGCATGCCTCGGTTGAAGAGGATGTTCTGTTCATCTTCATGGTCAGCACTGAAGACATAGAGAATGTGTTGGTGAATTTAGTCGTGACAACATATCAGGGAGATTCTCAAAATACCACAGCCCAGGAATAAAAAATATTGATATTTTCAAAGAACTTCAGTAATGGTCAATACAAAGAAAACTGACCCTCCAAATGCAATATCAAAGTAAACTGGACAAACCTTAGGCAAATTGATATGTTAAAATATGTGGGTATCGTGATAACATCAGATGGAAGATGCATTAAAGAAGTTAAATGTAGAATAGCTCAAGCAAAAGCAGCATTTTACAAAATGAAGAATATTTCATGTAATCTTTCTTTGTCAATTGAGATGAGAAACAAAACGCTTAAAAGCTAAATAAATCCCATCTTTATATATGGAAGTGAATCATGAATCCAGAACAGTTGGTAGATTAGTAAAATTATTTGGGAGCTGCAGAGATGTGGTTTTATTATAGTTGAATGTTGAGAATACCCTGGACAGATAAAAAGAATAGTGAAGATGTCTTGAAAGAAACTGACCCACGAAGAGAAATGATTACCCACATCAGAGAGAGACAATCTATATCCTTTGGTCATGTGATGAGAAGGGGAAAACTGGAGTACATCATGACAGTAGGAAATTGGGGGGGGGGGGGGGGGGGGAATTCTATTCTTTTTCTTTACAAACATAATGAGGGCCTGAAACCCATAAGGATTCTAAAAGATCTAAATATTACAGAAAATTAGCTTTCGAACATCATCTTGCCATGGAAACAAATACTTTGGCCATATAAAAAATCCCACTGGCTTGGGAAAAAAACTGGTACCAGGTAAGAAAGACAAGCTGACCAGCATGAAGATGGCTACAGAGTATAAGAAAGACTTCAGGCAGGAAAGTGGCGAGGCAGAGGAGCTGGCGAGGGCTGAGTTTGTTTAAGGCATTCTGTGATGAGAGATATTTAGGAAACGTTTTAGGAAGTAAAATGTGCCACTCTGATACTGACCACATCCCAAACTGTTTGTTATAAACCATAGCACCATTGGTGCAATGAAAAGGGGAATCTTTTCTCAGCCCTATCTACATCATCTACCCCTTTCACCCAAAGAAGTTGAAAAACACTTCTGGTTAGGTCCAATTCCCACAAATGTCACTTTTCTGACTTGTCTAAAGTGACATGTTTACGTGGCACATAGCTGATGCTATTGGTGCCTGCACGAATTTTAAGGAGCACAGGATACGAATACATTAACTAACAATAGCATTTAGGGTTTTTCTTTGAGAAAATACTGAAATAAGTTGACGTCAGATTTCCCCGTAAGCCTCAGTGATAGAAGTCATGGAGCCAGGGCATAATTAACCAGATTGTGTGTGTGTGTGTGTGCGTGTGTGAGTGGGTGGGGGGTATTCCATCTAATGCTTCATTACATTACTCTTTAAAAATCCTTAACATACTTCAACAATTAATTTGAAAATGTTGATTTATAAATTTTCACAGAATTTATTAGTGACCTGGCTAAAAAGGTTATTTTTTACGAAAATAATTCAGAAAATCTAACAAGATCCTAACCCTTTTTTTTTTAAATGTTTCCTGGCAAAAGAGTTAACATTAACAGTGAGCTAAGACAAAATCTGTGTAACAAAAATAAATAAAACAGCAATAAAACACAACAAAAACAAGAGTGTGTGTACTCACAGGATGTAGTTGAAGGCAATGTTCTTGCAAACGTGCTGGTTGGAGACCATCTGCTGCAGGTTCTCGGGACAATCCTGGCTGACATTATACCAGAACATCAGCAACGCCTGGTTGGATTAGCAAGTAATAAGTTTGTAACATTTACGCTGTCAGGTAACTAGTGAAATCATGAGTGCAACACCTGGTTGGATTAGCAAGTAATAAGTTTGTAACATTTACGCTGTCAGGTAACTAGTGAAATCATGAGTGCAACACCTGGTTGGATTAGCAAGTAATAAGTTTGTAACATTTACGCTGTCAGGTAACTAGTGAAATCATGAGTGCAAAGCCTGGTTGGATTAGCAAGTAATAAGTTTGTAACATTTACACTGTCAGGTAACTAGTGAAATCATGAGTGCAACACCTGGTTGGATTAGCAAGTAATAAGTTTGTAACATTTACGCTGTCAGGTAACTAGTGAAATCATGAGTGCAAAGCCTGGTTGGATTAGCAAGTAATAAGTTTGTAACATTTATACTGTCAGGTAACTAGTGAAATCATGAGTGCAACGCCTGGTTGGATTAGCAAGTAATAAGTTTGTAAAATTTACACTGTCAGGTAACTAGTGAAATCATGAGTGCAACACCTGGTTGGATTAGCAAGTAATAAGTTTGTAACATTTACACTGTCAGGTAACTAGTGAAATCATGAGTGCAACGCCTGGTTGGATTAGCAAGTGATCAGTTTGTAACATTTACACTGTCAGGTAACTAGTGAAATCATGAGTGCAACGCCTGGTTGGATTAGCAAGTAATAAGTTTGTAACATTTACGCTGTCAGGTAACTAGTGAAATCATGAGTGCAACGGCTGGTTGGATTAGCAAGTGATCAGTTTGTAACATTTACACTGTCAGGTAACTAGTGAAATCATGAGTGCAACGCCTGGTTGGATTAGCAAGTGATCAGTTTGTAACATTTACACTGTTAGGTAACTAGTGAAATCATGAGTGCAACGCCTGGTTGGATTAGCAAGTAATAAGTTTGTAACATTTACGCTGTCAGGTAACTAGTGAAATCATAAGTGCAACGCCTGGTTGGATTAGCAAGTGATCAGTTTGTAACATTTACGCTGTCAGGTAACTAGTGAAATCACGAGAACACTGCTGAATACATTATTGTAACCGACATTAACAATGTTAACAACACAATGTAGTCCTCAACAGGATTTTATTTTTCCCCTGTGTGGATCCAGTAGGGAAAACAAGAATAGACCCACTGACTACCCAAAAAGCATGTCGTAAGAGTCACTAAATGGGAGCTTTCTTCGAAGTCGGAGTGCATCTGTCTGAGAGGCAAGGAACCAAACAGTCTGCATTCAAATTAGTCAAATCTGTCAAACGGATGTACACACAACACTCAGGTTCTGGAACAGGACTGCAGACCAGAAGTGGACAAACAGCCAGAATTTTCTGTTGGAGTTTACAGACAGTAAATATGAAGAAAAATAAAGAACTAGGATTTGATATTAAATATTGTCAGAGTTAGGAGTGGATTTATTACAGCCAACCTCCATTATAGTAAAAGCACCTTTTTTTAATTTTTTATGTTAAAAAAAAAAAAAAAAAAAAGTGTGTAATCAGTGTCAAACATGGCCTTTAACCACCCAAGAAAATAGAACGAATAATTAGAACAGACACAGTCTTTTTGCAGAAGTCTCCTCATGGCTGTTGGGTAAAGCCTGTCACAATCTCAACCCATACTTGAACAATAACAGTTGTGCCCTCACATGTCGTCGCAGGAGTCAGATAACGGACACAAAGTGGCCCAGGCAGGCAGACAAGGTTAGGCAGGGGTGAAAGGTTATGGTCAAGGGGCTTAACATTAAAAACATTTAGAAAAAAAAATAATTTTAAATCATATAAACAGGACTTGCGATTCATAATGATTTAGATAAATGTGTGCATTCAAAATTTTTTTTTAAATATTCAGAAACCATGAGTTTTTAACCTTTTGGCTCTGTACTATGGATATCGCAACCCTTCGGCCTTGATTCCATGGTAGATATCATAAATCTGGGAGAAATGTGGCTTTTCTGCCTACCTCCAGATGTGTTTAGGAGTTCGTCACCCGGTCGCCCACAGTCAGGTTTAACCTACTACGCTAGTGAGCCGGGCATTTCAAAAGTTTAAACTGGGTAGTCAGCCAAATATACTGGCAAGAATAAAAAAAAAAAAAGGAAATGCAGTTATCCGATTGTACATTTCTATTAGTTGACAGGAAAGCCTGTGTGTCTAAAAACTATTTTGACCCAGATGCCAAAAAAAATGTCAACTGATTGGTTGAATCCTATAGAATTCTTGTGTGCAATTTGAACAATATCATTCAGTAAATACAAAGATTTCAATGTAAAAAACAAAGCTGAAATTATATTTCTTTCAGGAGCTATGCGTATCTGTCTTTTTAAAACAGCTTAATAAACAAATGTATGTCGCAGATTATGGAGAGGTATGATCGCCCACGCCAGTCGGCAAGGCACCTGATGATGTGTAACAAACACAAACCTGTTTGTTGTGGTTGAGTGGAACCTGGGGCTCCAGCATAAACGGGTGGAACAACTGCCAGAGATCCAGAAAATATGGTGTGAACTGAAACAAAAAAAATAACAAAGGCAAAACCAATTAGCATTGTTTAAATCCCCCCCCCCCCCCCCCAAAAAAAAATCTACAGCAATTAAAAGTTACAATCAATCAGCAACAGGCAGGGCACCACAGAGAGCAATGTTATACAGATTCAACGGTAACAGAGCCAGAGGTGGACCCGCAGAAGATGGACCACAGAAACAGCAGAGACATTGAAAAGTACTATACTATGTAAAAAAAAAAAAACACAAATGAGGCTGAATTTGTGTGTTTTTTATGTACAATTTATCTAACCTATTTTAATGTAATAAAGATAGTGTTCAGAAACATAAATGTGACTCACAAACAGTTTGACTTATGATCTGTCATAAGTCAAGGAGATACTGTACCAAAAACATATTATCTGAAGCTTTGAAAAAAAAACCAGAATTCTTCTTCTTCTTCGTATCTTCCACCTTGTACCTCAGTGAAGTGTCGGGGGGAGATGTAATGTTCGATGATGAGCTCTGTCAAGAGCACTATTAAGACTGATATTCACTTCTGTAAGGCTGTTCTTATACATCACTCCATCTTTTCCTAGGTCTTCCACTCGCTCTATACCTGTTGTAACATTTTAGTGTGGCAGATAGTACCAGGGCACTCTTCTTAGGTGTCTACACTCTTTATTTGTTGTTCTTTAATTCTTTGAGTCCCAGGGGGTTTAGCATCACAGGCCCAAGGGGTAGTCAATAGAGACGTAAACTCGGTGCATCATGTGTTTATTGAGCCTCTAGGCAGGAATCTATGAACATATGATGCGTTCCTTGGGACTCAAAGAGTTAATCACCTGTAAGACTGGCTTTATTCCCAGCATTCGTCGGATTTCGTGAGCCACAATACTCACCATTAATTTCTCTCTCCTTGAATACAGGCAGTAGTTGAGCACAGAGAAGAGAGACAGCAGTTTAGCATGGGATGGCCCCACCATGTTTGGCTGGTTGCTGTCATAGTGAGCTGTAAAGACAAATTACTTTGTCAGGTCAGTTTGCATACAAGTTCCGATTTAAAGTTACCAATTATTAACAGGTACACAAACAAGAAAGGGTAAAAGTTATGTTTTGCTCCCCAGATCCCGCCCATATATACACTAGCTCACTTCTGATTGGCACAAGGTTATGGGGTGTGTTCCGCAATGCCACTGATATCGCGTGTTGTGTGTTTCAGCATACCAGAGCTTTTAACACCACAAAAACATGGACAAACTGGGTCTAACACAGCCCCCCTAGAGAGTGCTGCAACCTATGTCACAGGCATTCTCTTTCTCTGAATAAATACGTAAAGACAACCTAGAAAGCAAACAACAGAGCGGCACACCACTAACCTGCAGGAAAGTAGACCAGCCCAATAAACTTGTAAATAAAATGTGACCTACATTGTTTGGGAAGACTTACTTAAACCTGACCCAAGAAAGAACGAATTATAGAAGAGTACAGTTACCAATGCAAGCATTTAGAGGGAAAGCTGAAACAACACTGTGTCTCAATTATACTGACAGACAAAGAATGACTTTTGGTGGACATCTAGTGAGAAAGCAGCCAGATCAAACTGCATATGGGATTGCATTTTTTGGGTTTTAACAGCAGATATTATCTGGCAGGAAAGTGAGGGGAAGACCAAACAAAGAGATGGATAAATGGTGTGGCTCTCTGATGTGGTCTAGTGGTTAGGATTCCTGGCTTTCACTCAGGTGGCCCAGGTAAGATTCCCAGTATGTAAACATTTACTTTATAAAATACAGTTGCAGTATGCAAGATAAGTTTTTGGAACAGCACAGGACAGGACAGGATGAGAGAGAGAGGGAGAGGGAGGGGGAGGGAGGGAGGGAGAGAGAGAGAGAGAGAGAGAGAGAGAGAGAGAGAGAGAGAGAGAGAGAGAGAGAGAGAGAGAGAGATAGAGAGAGAGAGAGAGAGAGAAATAGAGAGAGAGAGAGAGAGAGAGAGAGAGAGAAATGTAAGACAAGACTAGAAAGCTGGGTGGCCAAATATAAAGAAAGCAGGACAAGAGTGTCAAAATCAGATGGAAGAACCTGTCAGGTGTATTTACCAATGTGGACATGCGCTCGTTTCAGCAGCATCAGCAGGTGTTGGTAGATCTGAAACATCAAACAATGAACATTACCTTCACTGCCCATACAATAACAGTAAATATAAGACCCCTTCTATGCCAGTGGTGAGATCGGGCATACGAGACTAGGGGCATATTCTAATTGACAGCCCGATGACTGATGGGGTCAACATCACGCGGGCCACCTTTACTTCAAAGGAACTGACCTGGCGCTCATTTTAGGCTGGGTCGACCTGGGAACCATGGTCCGTTTTGAAAAAAATGTCTTCTTCTTTTTCTTAGCGTTAACCGGCTTCAACTTCTGAAGAATATTCTGGCTGTTCATCCACTTCAGGACTTTTTTCTAGAACTTGAGTTCTGCATGCACATCCATTTTACAGATCTGGCTTATGTATGCAGACTGTTGGTTCCTAGCCCCTCAGGTAGATGCGCTCAGAGGAAACTCCTCTAATTAGTCACCTTTTAGGACATGCTTGTTATACAGACAGCGGATCTATTCTTTTTTCCTCTAAAAACATAGGGCAGCGGAACCCAGAAGGGGAGATATGCAGATTTAAACCCAAGGTCTTTGGGCTGACAGGAAAGCATCCAGCTTTCTACTCGACCACGGCTCCCTTTTAATGACCATGCTTTACAACAAATCACTGAACACGACTGTAAAGATAAATACTATGGCAGATACTGCATGCAGAGACTAGGTTGTGTTTCAGTTCTGAGGATTCATTTATTTGCTTTATTTTAATCCACTGTTACTGCAGTATGAACCTGACGAGATACAGCAAAATTATGCCAGGAAGTAAATTGAGCAATCTACTGTTTGTGTCTTCTTTGTTAGACAGTGTACTGTTGGTAAGGTGACCAGTTTCCATGATTGATACCTTTCCGTCCCAAATAATTATGGAAAATTAATTTACTCAATTTACAAAAGTGAGCTGACCCCCCCCCCGATCTGTACTTCTTTCCTTTCTTCTTCTGTCTAAGGATAAAAGATGGCAGCAGGAAAGGAAGGATAACAGATGGCAGCAGGAAAGGAAGGATAACAGATGGCAGCAGGAAAGGAAGGATAACAGATGGCAGCAGGAAAGGAAGGATAAAAGATGGCAGCAGGAAAGGAAGGATAAAAGATGGCAGCAGGAAAGGAAGGATAAAAGATGGCAGCAGGAAAGGAAGGATAACAGATGGCAGCAGGAAAGGAAGGATAAAAGATGGCAGCAGGAAAGGAAGGATAACAGATGGCAGCAGGAAAGGAAGGAAAAACTAAGAGAGAAAAAAAAAACCCAACTACATCAGTGGTAACTTCTGTTGTAACATGTGACAGGTTGTACAGTTTGCTTCTGCAGGACTGTTTCATGAAAATAAATGAAGATATTTTGTAGACAGCCTTTCTAAGGCTGAAACAGTTAATTAGATGAAAACACAAATCAAGGAAAAAACCAATGAAAACAATGAAAATAATTCAAAACTTACTCTGTGCATAATGGCAAGGTCTTCTTTGTTCCACTAGAAAAAAAAATATCAAACCATTATTTTTGTTCTTTTCATGTATATATAAAAAATATAATTCATTTCAGTCAGGTCGAATAAACAGAATTATATATTTCCAGTGAACCTTACAAAGAAGAAGAAATAATTTTGCTCCGCTTAACGAACTTAACACAAAGACTACCATTAAAAAATTATCCAGTTTAGCATAAGCTTAAAAAACATTTATAAAACCCCAAAAAAGTATGTAAAGGACCTATTTTCAATGCATGAACATATAATGCTAGACTTGTATCTTTACAGACCAATCGGCAATGGATACGTGAAATGGTCAACAGCATACAGACCGCTTTCCTTCCTGTAGAATTACCTTAATGCCTCTTTCACACCAGACAACTATCTGTTAATTTACTGCTTCTATCCGTAAAAGCTGGGTAACATTAACCCTAACAGACAGCAAGACGTAGAGTAATAGCTAAGACAAGGTGGGTTAATCTACCACCTCAACAAGGCACAGCAAGTTATGTAAAGCATATCGTGTTAGCTATTAAAATTGTCCTATGATTTACCTGGTACTAAAAGTGTTGCTAAGACGAATTTTTAAAAAATGGTGATTTAAGTGAGTGCTGAGCTGACATATCAGCACTTGGGACATTCCTATAAGCTCTCCGTCCTCATCTTCAGCAGCCAGCGAAGAGTACCAGCTCTGACGGTGCTAGTAACAGTTTGATTTCATGTCCGTCTTGCCTTTCCTCTGAGTGTCAACCAAATCCCCTGGACACTCCTAGCTGTACTATTCTCTCCAGATCTTAATGATCCAATTATGCCTCCACATTCTCCACTTGCGACCACAAAGCCTTGACCATATTTAGCTTGTCATGCAAAAATTTACCCACCCATTGGTGCAGAACCAACCAATCTGTCTGCCTGTTCATGTGCCAACACTCCAGCCTGCACCAGAGACAATATCCAAGGAATGCTAACTACCCAGGAGTTAAAAGTGAGAGTTAAACCCTCTAAACACACAAATGAGGTTACTTACTGTAATAGACGAAGGACATGTGGCAATAACCCGAGGTCTGTACGAGGATCTGAACATCTCATTCGGCACCAGGGAGACCAACAGATGTGCACTTGCTGCAAGTGGTGGAGAAACAAACAGTTGGAGTTTGCACAACAACAATACATATATAAAAAAAGAAAATAAACTGAGGATAAAGAACCTTTGGTTAGGTTCACGTAAATCTCCTAAACAAAGTAGGTCACTTTTTATTCACAATTGTTGGACTTTCCTCTGTTGTTTGCTTTCTGCATTGTCTTGCATTTATGTTTTCATTCCGAGAAAGGGAATGCTTGTTGCAGCACTCTCTAGGGGGGTTGTGTTAGGGTCAGTTTCTCCATGGTTTTGGAGTGTTAAAAGTGCTGGCGTACTTAAATATACAACATTTGATTTAATGGCATTGTGGAATACCCCCGTAACCTTGTGCCAAGGTGGCAGGTTCAGGAACTACCAATCAAAAGTGAGCTAGTGTGTACATGGGTGGGGCATGGGGAGATTAACCTTACTTTAACCGAACCTTTTTATGCACTGAAGCATTGACATATTTAAGCACTGTCCTTTTTAAGTTACAGAATTTAAAGATCCTCACAGATTCGTGTTAGTAACCATGAAAATGAGATTTCTGAGAAGAACTGCAGGAGTGACCAGGAGAGAAAAAAATCACGAATGGAGTCATAAGAGAAAACAAGCTAGCACAGAACCAATTCTGTATTACATACAAAGACAGCAGATCAAAAGGTTTGCCCACTTAAAGAGAATGCCTTGTGACGCCATACCACAAAAGGCATACACTAAAAGAGAAGGATGCATGAGGCAGATCAAGAACAAAAATGGAAAGATAACATCTACAAAAGCACGATGTGTCTGTGCTCGAGGCGGCCACAACAGCAAGACGAAGAACCTTATATCTCCCTCAATATCCAAAGCACTAAAAGAGGAAGTAAAGAAGAAGAAGGAGGAGGAGAAGACAAATTCATTTATTTCATAATTTGTGTTCCAAATAATCATTCCTCTTCCAATATAGATACAAGATTCGTATGGATACATTTAATTCATCTGATATTCATTTGGGTCTTTTTTTTTTTTTTTTTTTTTTAAATAACACACTGGAAACACGAAACAGACTATGCTTTAACTATGTGATACACACTGGAAACACGAAACAGACTATTCTTTAACTATGTGATACACACTGGAAACATGAAACAGACTATGCTTTAACTATGTTATACACACTGGAAACACGAAACAGACTGCTTTAACTATGTGATACACACTGGAAACACGAAACAGACTACTCTTTAACTATGTGATACACACTGGAAACATGAAACAGACTATGCTTTAACTATGTGATACACACTGGAAACACGAAACAGACTATTCTTTAACTATGTGATACACACTGGAAACACAAACTAGGTAAACACCACCCAACACTAATTGTTGCCTACATAACAGCTCTGGCAGTGGTTGCAAAAGCACAGTGTCCAGACATGGCAGGTATAATTATACATACTAAAAACATGCAGAGATATTTTTTCGAGTGGGGTGGGGGAAGTTTTTTTTTGGTCTTTATTCATCGTGTCATCAAATTGGTTCGTGTGGTTGTGTCGACAAAAACAATTTTTCAGGGTCAAAAGCAGTGAAAACAGTTAAGGTTTTTGCTGAACTTGTATTTACTAATTTTTTACCTTGGTTTAGAACTGGTGGGGAAAATGTCTTTTAAAACTTTAAAAAAAAAATAAGTCATGTGCTACATTGTTGCAAAAGCTCACTAGCAAAACATGCCTGTCTGCTCAGTGGCAACAGGTTTCAACCCGCCAAATTTTTGATAAATACAGGCCAAAACTCCACACTGCTTTGGCTTTTTTCTTTCTCATTTTTCAGGGTAGAGTTTTGGAAAATTATAAGAAGTTTTTTTTTTAAATATGCTTTGGGAAAAAGTAGCTTGCTAAAATATTCTTTCAGTGCAAAAGGGTTCAAGATCTCTGACATGCTTCTTTAAAGTCATACATGATGACGCAGAACTGTGATAAGCTTCACAAGGAGTCAAATCCTAGTCATCTATGTTAGCAGGCAGGCTGGCTATCACTCAACCACATGCAGGACACAAATACTACCTACCCATTCTGACTAGGTTACTGTTGTAAGCGACCATATACAGTTCCACCCAGCCGTCCATGCAATCCAGGGTCCACTGCCGAGCAAGTCGGTTGTGGGTCACCTTGTGGGTCAGCCACTCCAGGCAGGGTCTGGGGGTCACCTTGGTCAGCTGCAAGAACACAACAATGGTGAAACGAAATTAAGCTGTTTAAGAGCACCATTTGATACAATTTTTTTTTTCTTCATCAACTTCCTCTTTTAACATTAAGCATCCTTGGAGAGCAACAGTTTGTGGTGTGATAATCAACAGATACCACTGCTATCAAGATTGATCTTTTTCTAATAAAGTGTCAAGAAAAGATATAAAACAGAACAAAAAGTATATTAGCAAGCTTCACAATATAACAAATACAAACAAAACGTGAACGTTGCGGCTATGGAGCCTTCATCAGCACATACAAATCAAACAATACTACACAAATACACATAATCACTTAGCTGGTATCTCAAAGCAGCCGGGTCGATGGATTCTAATAAACTTTACATATAAACAAACAAACAAAATTTTGGGGTCAATTCTGCAATGTTCTCTAAAAGATAAGCCACTAACTTGACAAATAAACAAGAGAAACATCACACAACACAACCATACAGACCAACTTACATCCCAGAGTCTCGACACAATGAGCTGGGTAAACGGAGGGTATCCCGCCACCCGTCCACAGTATTCTGTCATGTGGGTCAGTAGGTCAAAGAAGGGTTTTGCCAGCTGTCAAATGGTAGAACATTATTTTTATAATGGTAAAATATGCAGTATATGATGATGAGAATGACAAAGCAGATGTAAAAACTAAATTGTAAACTAAGTAAACTGTAAACTAAGTAAACTGTAAACTAAGTAAACTGTAAACTAGGTAAATTGTAAACTAGGTAAATTGTAAACTAGGTAAATTGTAAACTAGGTAAATTGTAAACTAAGTAAATTGTAAACTAAGTAAATTGTAAACTAAGTATATTGTAAACTAAGTAAAATGTAAACTAAGTAAAATGTGAACTAAATAAAATGTGAACTAAGTAAAATGTGAACTAAGTAAAATGTGAACTAAGTAAATTGTGAACTAAGTAAATTTTAAACTAAGTAAATTGTAAACTAAGTAAATTGTAAACAAAACAGCAAAGAAGAAAGAATGCTAAATGCAGTCTTCTTCTTTGTTCACCGGCTGTGAGCCCCGACGGAAAGTCCAGGACATTCATCCACCTGGACTCTGGCTCTGTGCCAGGGCCTGAGTTTTGTGTGTACATCCTGTTTACTGGCTTATTTGGGTGCAGTTAGTTGTTCCTTGCAGCTCGGGCAGATGCACTCAGATTTTGAAGGAAGCTCTCAATCAATCAACTCCTAAGATAAGCTTTTTTTTTCTGGGTAGGAAGTTGGTCTGTTCTTCTTCTTTCTACAATGGGGCCCTGGAACTCATATGGGGAATCATAGAGTAGTTTTGCTTATAAGAAGAAAGGACAGTGCTGAACAAGAAAATTAAATATTGTGTTAGATATACTGAGGAAGAGAGGCGTGGAGAAAAAAGAATACTCATATGCACACACACACGGACAGTGGAGGAAGAGAAAAAAAGGAGGGGGGGGGGGGGTGAGAAAAAAAAATGATGAGAAAGCAAACAGATGAGAAAAGAGCAAGAAAGAAGACAAAAGAGACACAATGCTGAGCTGAGAGAGAGAGAGAGAGAGAGAGAGAGAGAGAGAGCGAGAGAGAGAGAGAGAGAGGGAGAGAGAGAGAGAGAGAGAGAGAGAGAGAGAGAGAGAGAGAGAGAGAGAGAGAGAGAGAGAGAGAGAGAGAGAGAGAGAGAGAGAGAGAGAGAGAGAGAGAGAGAGAGAGAGAGAGAGAGAGAGAGAGAGAGAGAGAGAGAGAGAGAGAGAGAGAGAGAGAGAGAGAGAGAGAGAGAGAGAGAGAGAGAGAGAGAGAGAGAGAGAGAGAGAGAGAGAGAGGAGAGAGAGAGAGAGAGAGAGAGAGAGAGAGAGAGAGAGAGAGAGAGAGAGAGAGAGAGAGAGAGAGAGAGAGAGAGAGAGAGAGAGAGAGAGAGAGAGAGAGAGAGAGAGAGAGAGAGAGAGAGAGAGAGAGAGAGAGAGAGAGAGAGAAAGGGGGAGGGGAAGAGACGGTGAGGGAAAGAAATTGGACAAACAGAAAAGAGAAATGGAGACAGAAAACAGAAAAAAAAAAGTGAGGTGAGAAAGTGAAGAAAGAAAAAGAGAAGAGAGAAATAGTGCAGGCAGAGATGACGGAGAAAAGAGAAAGACTACAGAAAAACACAAATGACTCAAAGATTTGCTAAAGCACAGCTCTGGGGAACTGATCCAGATTATAAACTGGGTACTGAAAAATGTTCCTACAAGCCGACTAAACAACATAGAAGCTCTGATGTAGCAACACTAATTTAGTGGAACCTCAGGATATAAGTTTTTTTTTAGGTTATGAGGTCTCCCCCCCCCCTTACCCCCAATGGGCCCAGAATATGAAGTAAATTCCGGAATGCAAGCTGGAGAGATGAGAAGTCTTAGCGTTATCAGACAGAATCTCAATAAATTTTAATGGATTAGGTCAGGTTAACATTGCAGCAGGAAGAATTAGATAACAACTGGTTCCAGATTCGAAAGGTACAATCACCCAAGTCAATAAAGCACTTGATGATGTACTGCAGCATTATGGACGAAAGTAACCCGTTTTTGGCTGCCGGCAAAATCAAAACAGCAATGCCACACATAATCTCTGCTAATGAAACAAAAAATGTCATTTTGTTTTAAATCTACATCATCTGAACGTAGGGCCTGAGCGAATTATAATTTTTTTACATTAACTTTAATGGGACAAAACAGTTTCAAGATATGAGTTATTCATCACATTAGCTCAGTCATGGAACGGATTAAATGCGTATCCTGAGGTTCCATTGTAGTGTATCTGTAATTAACTCTTTGAGTCCCAAGGAACGTATCATACGTTCATAGGTTCCTAACTAGAAGCCCAATGAACGCAAGATGCGCCGATTTCACGTCTCTTTTGACTAACCCTTGGGCCTCTGATGCTAAACCCTCTGGGACTCAAAGAGTTAATAAGAAACATTTGTATAGAGTCAAGGTAACAATTGTTTTAAACAGACAACACTTACATCGCCCAATTTCTTGATATTGTTGAAGATCGCGGAAACAATCTGCAAGATGTATCGAATGCCAAATTTAATGGGAACAAAGAAATATAAAAAGTCAGAAAAGTATATAACAATCAATCAACCAATCTCTAGCCCCCCCCCCCCCCCCCCCCCAATATTTATATAGTATATCACAGTTATTATTTCCTTACCTTACGCTGAAATCGCCATATCAATACCTATTTCCCTAATTTTTAGCAATTAGAATATATTAAACTACTAACGTTTTCAACCAATCAATACCTACAGTAAGAATATATTAAGCTACTATTGTTTTCAACCAATCAAAACCTACAAACCCATTAAAAAGCTTTAATATATTACTATTTTTACTCCCAACCAATCAAATGCTTCCTAACCTCTGACCGTTACCCCTACGAGCAATGACAGCAACCGTGTACTTACAGAGACAGCCAATGGTTCGTTGAACATACACAAGCTGACAATGAGGTTACATGTGTGTTCTATGTTGATGTTGTCTCGAACCTGGTACATCAAAAATGGCTGGCCCTAGGAGATGCAAGCACATTCATCAGATGTGTCAGCTCAAGCAGCAAATTTAAATGAATTTATATGACCTTTATCTTCTTCTTAACATTCCCTGGCGGTAAACTGTGACAGAAAGTTCTGGTTGTTCGTCCACTCCTAGACTTTGGACTTAATCTGGAACTTCAGTTTGCGTGCGCACACGTTTTACAGATCTGGCTTATCTGTATGTACACTTAGTTCCTTGCCTTTCAGGAAGATGCACTCCTACTTTGACTGAAAGTCACCTCCAACAACATTTCTGCTAATCATTTCCTTGTCTTACCTAAGAATCTGCTGACAAACCTAGTGCTAAAAGAATGGTTTAAGTTTTTTTTTTTGGTTTTTTTTAGGAATGGCCCTTGCGTGTCTCGGCTTTTTTCTGGCTTGTATTCATTTCCTGTGTTCACACACATATCACAGATTTAACTGACCAGAAGACATGTGATTTCTCCATCGGCGACCGGGTCATCCATTGGCTTGCCGGTAGACGACTTTATCGCCTGTCGGGACGGTATTTGGGCCTGTCTCTTTTGATCACATCAACACTGCAATAGATCTTTTCAGAGCTACTTGGTGGCATGCAGTGCTAAGCCCATTTTATAAGGCGCACATTACCTAGTCACAATTATAACCTGAAGTCCCCCTTCAGCAATGCAGGTTTTTTTTTTAGCACAGCAATGGAACAAATGTGATTTCTCGTAGAGATATTTCAGTTAAGTGATTTTATTTGGTTATGTTCACAACTGTAACAATGTCTTACCATGTAATGTGCAGATGAAGGCTTTCTGCCTGAACATTCACTTGTCGTTTGTGCTGATGTAAAGCTGATTATTTCTACATTATGTGTGGTTTGATATCCTTTTACGGTAGTGAAAGAGTTCACATAAATCATCTGCAGTGCTACAGTCAATAGATCCCTAATTTATCAACACAACATCCCTGTTGGCACAGCCTTTTAAAATAGATGCTAATGAATTTTATGGGAAAGAAAAGGCAGATTTATCTGTGTGTGCATGTGAGTGGGAGCGTGTGTGCATGTGCGTGAATGTGTGTGGTGGTGGTGTGTGTGTGTGGCAGGGTCTGTGTGGTGTGTCTGTGTGGCTAGGGTCTGTGTGGAGGTTGTGTGCTTGCACATATGTGGGTTACAACAGATGGATGGATGGATGGATGAGCATATGGTGGATTACCAGATGCATGCATGTATCCAATCAAACGACAAGCTGAGAAACTCACCCTTCCTCGGATCAGATAGTTCATGTCCGACTCGCTGAGATGTAGCACATGACCTTCTCTAGAAGTTTCCACCAGGAAGGAGATCAGCGACACCATCTTGCTGAGTGCTGTTGGTCGGGTTTCATCAGGGGTCATCACCAGAACCTCTTCATCATCATCTTCATCTGACAGGATCTCCACCTGGGAATGATAAGAATACAGTCAATACCAGACTACAGCCAAAAACCAATGAAACCCACAAGAACACTGACCTGGTCCATGGTTCTGGTAAACATAAGAGACCGTTTTTATGACGTGGTGAACTATAACTGGCATGCTACACGATGATAATGAAACGGTTTATCAAAATATTGATTAATGATCTAAGAATCGACACCATAGCACACCAGAAGGGGTCATCACCAGAACCTCTTCATCATCATCTTCATCTGACAGGATCTCCACCTGGGAATGATAAGAATACAGTCAATACCAGACTACAGCCAACAACCAATGAAACCCACAAGAACACTGACCTGGTCCATGGTTCTGGTAAACATAAGAGACCGTTTTTATGACGTGGTGAACTATAACTGGCATGCTACACGATGATAATGAAACGGTTTATCAAAATATTGATTAATGATCTAAGAATCGACACCATAGCACACCAGTCATACCCACAGGTGCTTTGTCTCCCGAAGCATATGTTTTAAGGTGTAGATGCTAACTGTTCCTGTAGCATACTGATTCTAAACTTGTAATTTTCTTCCTCTCATCTGTCCTGCTTGCCTGATCCACACCTAATTCGTCATTCACACATTTCCTTACAAATTCATCAATCAGGATTCGTTCATTAATGGTCTTCAGAATGTCTCCTCTGTCCAGCCGCATATTGTTACTGATCAACTTTATTTGCTAGAATATTAATTGGTATCTATTTTATGTGTGTAATTTCAAGATACTGAGTTCAGTTCCAGCGGCTAGTGATCTGGCAGCAAACCACTCTGTATTGGTTTCAACAATGGTATTGACAGCTGACGGTGCAGGGAATAATGACAAACAAATGAAAAACTGCCTGGCCGAATCACAAAAAGCCCCACCCACCCACCCCCACACACACACACCCCCCCACCCACACACCCACACACACACACACACGCACCCCCACCCACACACCCACACACACACCAGCACGCGCACACACACGCACACACAACACGCACGCACACGCACACACACACACACACACACACACACACACACACACACACACACACACAACCACACACACACACACACACACACACACACCACACACACACACACACACACACACACACCACACACACACACACACCACACACACACACACACACACACACACACACACACACACACACACACACACACACACAAACACACACACACACACACACACCACACACACACACACACACACACACACACACACACACACACACACACACACAACACACACACACACACACACACACACACACACACACACACACACACCACACACACACACACACACACACACACACACACACACACACACACACACACACACACACACACACACACACACACACACACACACACACACACACACACACACACACACACACACACAAAATAAGAACAATGCTTGAGCTGTTTCTGCAATGTCCTGTAAAGAATACAAAACTAATGCAACATTTTATGTTCAGCGGGCCTGGGAGCCCAAATCAATCAATAAAACTTGTATTTTTCAATGACATGCAGTGGCTCAACTCCCCCACTCCCCGCAAGAGCCCCATGGGAAGTTGCTCATAGTAAATGTATCCATTTCTTTCCATTAGGATACAATTATCTGTTATTAGGGGGCCGTGTTAGCGCAGTCGATAGGAGACTGGCTTTCAAATCCACCTGAGAGTCGCTGCAGCCCACGGCTGGTGTTCGAAACCGGGCGGTCCCCGGGGGTTCACCAAGCCTCTAGGTAATGGGTACCAGAGTAAACACTCTGGGGTAAATGTGTGCAATGACGCTGGTTCACACCTCCAGACTTTACCTTTAAATCTGTTTTCCCCCTAGCTATTTTCAGTCTAAGACTCTTATCTTGAATTCTGCTAGCTGCTTATCACTTAGGTTGCACGTCGGAAATGCAGCCGACCAACACTGTGAAGATGACACCTGATCTGACAAAGGCTGAACACATAAGAAGAAGACCTAAAAAAAAAAATAGGACTCACATAATCAGACTGGGCGGACTTGCTGCCCATGTAGAACTTGACCACCATACTGATGGTGTTAATAGCGTTGAGGAAGGAGGCCGAGGGAAAGTCGGCGTTGGAGTCCTGCAGCTTGGCAAACTCAAAGAGGAAGGTGAAGTACTCGGTCAGGTACTTGTTGCTGGGCCTCATGCCGCACTCAAGCTGTGGGAAGTGCATCAGATGTGTTACATGATGACAAAAACTGCCTACATTCACAATACAAACTTTTGTCTACACTAATGACAATTATGCCTACATTTGTAATGGTGATAATTTTTCCTACATTTGTAATGGTGGTAATGTTTCCTACATTAATAATGGTTTATACACTGGTAATGGTAACTTTTCCTCTACAGATAATACAAATGTTACCAACACTGATAATACAAACTTTGCCTACATTGATAATACAAATCTTGGCTACACTAAATAAAAACTTTGCCTACACTGATAATAAAAACTTTGCCTACACTGATAATGCAAACTCTGCCCACACTGATAAACCAAACTTGCCTACACCATTAATTTAAACTGGGCCTACACTGATAATGCAAACTTTGTGTGAACTGCCAATAAAAACTTGAACTTACATTAGACAACAGTTTGGTGATGAAACGGGTCAAACAGCTGTGGCCACAGAGCTCCGCAGTGTCCATGCCATCCCTGCACAGAATAACATGTTACAAAATAACAACATATGTATAAAATATATGTGGGAAACATGCGTTATACATACAAACATGTAACCAAGGCAGAAATAATGTCAAGCAGGTAAATCTAATTTGTAACTGAAATGGAATAAAATACAAGGACCTTGTCCATGCCATTAGTGCATCGACCAAGTTTGTATGCAATGATCAGTATGTACAGGGCAACTAATTAATGAATTGCTGAGATCAAATGCGTTATGTTACAAGCATAAAGTGTCAACAACCTTTTTTTAAGGCAAACAAAGAAGAAGAAGAAAAAGAAGAAGAGGAAGGAGGAAGGCACTGAGGAAAGAGGAGGAAGAGGAAGAAGAAGAAGAAAAGAAAAGAAAGTAGAAAAGGAAGGCGGAGAGGGGAAAAAAAGGAAGGCGGAGAGGAAAGAAGAGGAAAAAGGAAGGCAGAGAGGGAAGAAGAGGAAGAAGGAAGGGAAAAGAGAGAAGAAGGGGAAGAAGGAAAGGGGAGAGGAAAGAAGAGGAATAAGAAAGGTGGAGAGGGAAGAGGAAGAAAAAGAAAAGAAAAGAAAGTAGAAAAGGAAGGCGGAGAGGGGAAAAAAAGGAAGGTGGAGAGGAAAGAAGAGGAAAAAGGAAGGCAGAGAGGGAAGAAGAGGAAGAAGAGAGGGAAAAGAGAGAAGAAGGGGAAGAAGGAAAGGGGAGAGGAAAGAAGAGGAATAAGAAAGGTGAGGAGGGAAGAGGAGGAGGCGGCAGCGAAAGAAAAAGAAGAAGAAGAAGTAGATGAAGAGAAAAAAAAAAAAAAAAAGAAAGAAGAAAAGGAAGAAGGAAGGTGGAGAAGGGAAAAGAGGAGGAAGAGAAGGATAAGAAGAAGAAGAAGAAGAGAATAAGAAAAAGAAGAATTGAACATACCCGAGTGCGATGTATTCTTTAGAAGCCTTGCTAAGTTGAGTGATGACCATGATGAGCAGCCGCTGAAACATCTGCCGGATGGTTGTGTTGGGACACTTGATGAGAATGTGCTGCACCCACCAATCATCTTCTGCCATGTGGTCCAGCAGCCACTGAGCCAGCGAGAAACCAATCATGTCATCAATATAAAACAACCTCAGCTCACATAATCAATATAAGACAAATTCTATTCACATAAACAATATAAGACTAAAGTAAATTATAGAGTCTATATAAACAATACTAAACAGAAAACAAATCATTTCCTGGCCACTTACCTCACAGGGACCCAAACAGCTGCTGAATTTCTTCATCAGGTAATCAATCCAATTAGGCATGGACTTCTGCAGAAGGAGAAAGTTGACAAACAGTGATCTAATGACATTTTTTATTTCTCCTCCCTTTCTCTCTATTCTTCTTCCTGTGTCTCTCTCCATAGTTTTGCATTTGTTTATCTTTGTCGTCTTCATTATGAATATCTCTGTATCTCTTGAAATATCCTCTCTCTCTCTCATATACACACATTTTCTGTGTTTGAATTTATCTTTTAATTTCTCAATTCTGCCTGTCTGTCTCTGAATCTCTCTCTCCTTTAGACATACTCTTTCTGTCTCAATGTCTCACTGTACCCCCACTCTCTCTCTCTCTCTCTCTGCGTGTGTGTGTGTCTGTGAGTGTGTGTCTGTGTATGTGTGTCTCTCTCTCTCTCTCTCTCTCTATGTTTGCCACTTTCATTATCTCTCTTTTTTTCAAAGTATTTCTGTCTATGTCTTTTTACCCCCCCCCCCCCCCCCCCCCCCCTTCTCTCTCTCTGTTATATACAGTAACATATGTTTATACTACTGATAGCGACCATCAAGATATCGCTCAGTCTGAGGAAGACATAAACAATTTATATATATATTTAATCAGTGTTTTACAATTAGATTGAGGAAGTTAGCAAATGCAAAAATGTTAGAAAAGTCGAAAAAAAAACCTAGTGGATGGGGACAGAGTCTGGGGAGAGGGAGAAGAGACAGAGAGAGAGAGAAAGAAAGAGACAGAGGGGGAGGGAGGGACGGAAGGCTAAAATACAGAATCAGTTTTTTTCAAAGGTAATAGAATGACATGGGGAAAATGAGAAAAAAAGATGAGGGGACAGAGACATAAGAGGAGATAGCCCAGAAAGAGAGCTCTTCACTCACCTTCTCTTTAGCATGAATGAATGACTCCAGAACAAAACAGGAGGCCAAAATGACAGCCTTGTGGTTAGCAGTGTCTGTATACTCTATTGGCAACGTGCCAGGAATATGAGAGCACATCTGCCAAATGTGGCTGCAGATTTAGTTAAAAAATGGTTAAATAATTACAAAAATTACTGGCAAAGTAATCAAGCTAAGATCATGTGTTTAACAAAAAAAAAAAAAGGGTACTGGCATGAGGCAAACATGCGCATCAAACATATTCTCTCTAGGTGGGCAAACCCTTTTATTGTCTGCATGTTTGTATTTCAGTATTGATTCTGTGACTACTTTTTCTCTTATAATCTCCTTCCTGATTTTATACCCCCCCCCCCCCCCCCCCCCCCCATAGAATTTCTCAGACAATCCAATTCAGTAGTTACAAAATTTCTTGTCTGTGTGGTTATGAGTGGTAACACTGGTAGCATATGGTGGGGAGGAATCTACATTGTATGAGATGTTTCACTGTGCTGGTTATGAGTGGTAACACTGGTAGCATATGGTGGGGAGGAATCTACATTGTGTGAGATGTTTCACTGTGCTGGTTATGAGTGGTAACACTGGTAGCATATGGTGGGGAGGAATCTACATTGTATGAGATGTTTCACTGTGCTGGTTATGAGTGGTAACACTGGTAGCATATGGTGGGGAGGAATCTACATTGTGTGAGATGTTTCACTGTGCTGGTTATGAGTGGTAACACTGGCAGCATATGGTGGGGAGGAATCTACATTGTGTGAGATGTTTCACTGTGCTGGTTATGAGTGGTAACACTGGTAGCATATGGTGGGGAGGAATCTACATTGTGTGAGATGTTCACTGTGCTGGTTATGAGTGGTAACACTGGTAGCATATGGTGGGGAGGAATCTACATTGTATGAGATGTTTCACTGTGCTGGTTATGAGTGGTAACACTGGTAGCATATGGTGGGGAGGAATCTACATTGTATGAGATGTTTCACTGTGCTGGTTATGGGTGGTAACACTGGTAGCACATGGTGGGGAGGAATCTACATTGTATGAGATGTTCACTGTGCTGGTTGAGACTGTCTAATGTTGTAGGAGCCGGGCCAGTGTCCAATTCCCTCAATGGTTTTCAACCTTCCTGAAGTAGCCACCTTTTAATGCAGTTGTTGTGGTGACCCCCCCCCCCCCCCCCCCCCACCAAAACATAAAATTGTTTGTGTTGCTATTTCATATCTTCAGTGAATATGTGTTTTTTGATGGTCTTAGGCGACCCTTGTGAATGCGTCATTTCACCCCCAGGCTGAGAACTGCTGCATTACCTCGTCTACTTTAACACATAAAATTATAAAATTTTATTCTCATGTAGATTTTAGGGTCTCATTACAGGGGGAAAAGGGAGGGAGGAGGGAGGGGGGGGGGGGAGAGAGACAAAACCCGCTGCCCTTTTAAACAGCACGATGTAAATAGCAACTAATTAGCGGTATTTCCTTCTAAGTCTGACAGTATCTGCCTGAGAGGTGAAAAACCAACAGTCTGCATATAAAAAAGCAAGATCTGTAAAACATGTGCATGCAAAACTCAAGCTTTAAAACAAGACCAAAGTCTAGAAGTTGACCCCAACAAAAACGAAAACCAGAACTTTCCACCAGAGTTTACCAGAAGAGGAAGGAGAAGATTAATTTTTTCATGTATTTCATTCCTTCAGTCAGTCAGTCAGTCAGTCAGTCAGTCAGTAGCATGTCCTTTGCAGAACCTTGCTCCCATAACAACCCTCTGGCAAACTTCTCGATCACAAGCAAGATGTCCCATGTCTGATACACATGTCTGGAGATCATCCGTCACATCCTCCACTTCTCTTTGGCCTTCCTCTTTCTCTCTTCCCAGGCATATAATACTCCATTTTTGTTCTCTCATCATATCATTCTTTGGTAATTAAATTTACCCATCTTCTATCTCCCCCCCCCCCCCCCCCCCCCCCCCCCACACGATTTTGACAAACTTCCTCTTTCTTGCTTGCCCTCTGTATCTATTCTTCTTCTTTACTCTTCTCCAGGAATGCCTCGTGGCGTCAGGGCAGGAAGACATCTTTAGAATGGGCCCTTCTGTTCACTTCATGTGTAGTACTTTTCAGTATCTCAATTTTTTTATTAGGGTAGCACTGGGTATATATCCCCCCCAAAATATAGCCCTGGAACCCACAAAGGAAGTACTTTTTAAAACACATACACAGTGCTGTTAGCTATATGTAACAACACACAATCACTTACTCAAAATACATGCGATCAAAGATGCTTCGATCCTTCAGGAACTGGGTGTTGTCATTCCAAATCCACTGCCAAGTTGAAGACCAAATTAAATTAAGAATGTGCCTATACCATATGTCACATACACAGTGTTTTCATAACTTTTGTGCAATCATATGATAAAATAACATATACTGATCTAGAGTCATTTCTGTGTGAAAAAAAATGAAATAATTCCATTTCCAAGCTTCAACTCTTCAGCGCGTTAGTCGCAGCTAATCTGGCACTGTGATCCCTAACTAATGCCTGGGAGAGCCATTTTACGGATACTGCAGCACTGGCCTGTCCCAACAAGCTTAGTTAACTTCACTGGTTCTGTTTGCACCTGCACAGCTGTTCAGCAGGACCGAGTATGAATAGATTTACTAAATATAACATTTGCTTTTTTTTAAAGCCATTATCCTAATCTGCATTTAGTCTTAGAGGTCGCATGGAGTCATAATAACCGTTTTTAGACCCAAGTGGATGTTTTCCATCTAATTCTCCATTCCATTAATATTTATTGATGACTTTCTCCTTAAATTTCTAAAGGTTTTTTGTGTGTTTTGATTTTTTGTTTGCTGAATCTACATCAATTTATATATATTTGTTTTAAAATTGTAATTCATGTGAGACAAAATTTTTTTTACGATTTTCCCCTGGAACTGTTGGGTTCTTGGCTTTTGACTGACCCCAAAGGTTTCTGGGATAAAGGGTTAATGAATGTTAGCCATTTGATGCTAGTCCTAAATCTGTTTAGACCAAATGGCATTCGGTGGGTGATGCGAACATCACACTGGTCATATGTAGCACCCCCCCCCCCCCCCCCCCCATCTCATTTTTTGGTAAAAGACCCATTTTCATATTGTGAGGATATATGGTGCTTAAAGAGCAACCAAGAGGTTTTGAAAGAGGCGGGAGCCCAAAGACAACTAATCACAGACATCAGAAGGAGACAGTCATAATTTTTTGGCCATGTTATGAGAAGAGGAAAAATGGAACATGTTTTGATCACTGGAAAGATCTGTGGAAGGAAGGTAAGACAAAGGGAAAAGATTCTTGACAGTCTTGTTGCATGGCATGGAGATGTGTCAGCACACGAACTAATACATGCTGCAGGATATCACAGACTGTGAAGAGGCATGATCGCCCATGCCATTTGGCAAGGCACATGATGATCTCATTTTTTTTAAAAACAATTATCTGCACTCAGTGTGATATGCCCAATGTACCTCTACTTCTCTGACCAATTCATGGTGCCCATTATAGGCCAGACTCACCTGAGATTCCCAGATCACAGAAAAATGATCAACATCACTTCAGGCCAATAGTCAAGCCTGCAGACACTGTGCCATCAAAGTTCCTCTCTTCATCTTTCTTCCATTTAAAAAATTGTATTCTACAATGATGTGATGTCACGAATGCCTTGCCAGATGCATAATACGAAGAAGACCATGACGACAAGGAGAACTCAGTAACCTTTTCCAGGTTAGCGGACATGGGGGAGCAGCCTGGAGTAACCAGACATAAACATTTCACCAAGGGCACAAGACGTCTGATTAATCAACACAGACTGAGTGTGATCAGTTGTTCTAATCTTATGGAGCTACCGAGGAGGCGATCAGAGCACCTAGGGATCTGTCCAGAGCACTGTAAGGATAATCCTCACTAATCGCTATTCAACAAAAATCAGAAAACAAAATTAGGCTACTTACATTAGCTAACTCAGGGTTGAGCACAAAGTTGAATTCCTCCTTGACCTCAGCCTGCCTCGGTGATACTCTTTCATAGAACAACATGTAGGCACTGTTGGTCTGCACAGAGTCATGACGATGTTGTTAAACTACAAGTAATTCATGTCAGGAGAAGGAGAAAACAGGAGTACAACGTGATGGTGGGAAAGCTAAAGAAGAAAAGAGGTAGAGGGAGAGTCGAAGAAAGAAGATGCTAGAAAGTCTGACATTAAGGCATAGAAGATCTGTGTCAGAAGTGACTGAAAGTACATGAGACAAAAGGTTGTGGATATATTTGACAATCAACGCCACAGAATATAAGAATAAGAATTTTTTTGAATCAAGAGGACAGAGTTATTCTTTCCTCAACATGCATATTTACATTCCCTATGGAGCAACAAGCTACAACATGTTTTCTCCAAGAATTACTTTTCTGTGCTTGGGTTTACGTTTCTGCGCTTAGGTTTACGTTTCTGCGCTTAGGTATATGTTTCTGCGCTTAGGTTTACGTTTAAACAACAAATCAACATCATGGCACAATGGTAGTAACCCATAAGTGCTTTGTTCTACCTTTAACTCAAGCCCAAGTCCAAAAAATCTCAGAACAGTGCATGAACTTCACTGCACCGACTAGGACCCTGAAATACTTTGGGTAGATTTTTAACTCCAAATTTTGCTTTTTTTTTTTAAAAGGGTGTGACCATATTTTTCTGTTTAGATTCTAACCTAAATTTCCCTTGCTATCTTCTTGCTTTTCCTTATATCCCCTGACAGTTAGAAATCATAAACAGTCGACCAAAAGGTTACTGAGCATTCTTCTTCTTCTGTGTCACACATAGCTGTGTTATTTGCGTCTTTTGGCCGACACATCCAACTTCTGCAGGCTTTTGTTGCCTAAGTTAGCCTTCCTGGTTAAGTAACATTCAGTCACTTGTCCTGTAGAAAATTCTGCATACATTATACACAGTTTGTTCCCTTCTCTAATTTTAATCCTATCAGAAGCCACATGTCCTGCCTTGGTGCGACTGCTCTAGAAATATTTACCTAAGGTAAATAATTACAAAATGTTTCAGACTTGAATCTGGTGGTAACAAGTTTGTGCACCCAGCTGGCATTCTCAGAGTGTGAAACTAAGTAGCCAATAGCAGAAATCAAGAAAAGTTTCGGTTTCACAATAGTTTTTTTTCTCTTCCAAATCCAATCAACCAATCAATAATCAGTTATTTTCTGCTCTCTCTCCCTCTCAATTACTCTCTCTCTCTCTCTCACACACACATGCGAGCACACACATACATAATGACATATTAATCTCTCAGCCCCATTATTAAAAAACAATATCACAAAAATAGCAGGCATAAAACATATATTCTATCAATCAGACCACAGTGTATACAGAGAATTCTACATGTATAGTTTTTCTTAAATATAAAAAGTTAAATACAATACCTTCTCTATGGGAAAGTCCAGGTACTTCTCAGATACTGTATCATAAGTTTTACCCTGAAATGTTTCATGTAATAAAGGCATCAGATTTATGCATGAATTTATCTCTTTAACATAGTACATTTTTTCTTATGTGTAGGACATTTTTTGTTGTTGTTGTTAACCCAACGACTCAACAGGCCTGACCCTCCCCCTCTTTCTGTCTGTCTCTGTCTCTCAGCGTGAGTGTGTGTGTGTTCTCTCTCTCTCTCATATATATATAAATTATGAAAATGAGAATCACTGGCCAGAAACTCAAGCTCCCAGCATAGAAAGCTCATTAATACAACAAACCTGACAATGATCCGTGTGCCACCTGCTAGGCCTTTGCAGGCCAGATATGGCCCTAGGACCGCCAGTTGAATAGCCCCTGTAGTATTATATGAGTAACTCATGTGTTTTCAAAGATGATGAATGAGGGTGATGATAGTTTCTGAAGTTACCAAACGTGTCTTACATTCATCTCCCCTCCAAACGCTTCATGAGGAATGTTACTGGCATCAAACGGTTTTACATCAGCATCATTGAAATGGTACCTGCAACACGATGGAATGATAGAAGTATAATTTACAGAACATTCCTGATTGTTATGTTGTAAAGTCATTGACAAGCACACATGCAAGGCAGCTGAGAATGTGGCAGAGGCAGTCAGTGATACCAGCAGAAAGATTAAAAGATGTGCTGTCTCATTCCAACTATTAAAAAAAAAAGAGTCTTGGGTGTTCAGTGCAGCCGCTCCTTTATTTTGAGAGGTCGTGCAACTGTTT